TGATGATGACTAGCTGTCTTCCCTCTAGTCTTACACTGCTAAATTAGGGATGGCTAGCTCAGATAGCCCTCATGTAGCTTAGTGCAAAATTCAAAACAAAACAAACAAAAAAACAATTATTTATATTATTTTTTTATTATATTTATTCTGTGAGTGAACCTTTTGTATGTCAAATCATGCACTTGAAACTTATTGGACATAATTTCTCTATATGTTTTAAAGACGTATAAGATGAAGAATTGATCATCATGTTTCAGAAGGAAGAAAAGATGTTTGTATATGCAGTGCTGAAGTTCTATATATTTGTATATACATCAGGAGATTTCTACTTGTTATTTGTAATGTGAACTGTACCTTATAATACTGTGTAGTTGTAAGTGAATAGATAAATATTTCAAAAATATCTGCTGAATATTTTTATAAAACCTAGAGATATTATGCTGAAAGGTTAAAAATAAGCTTCACTTCTACCTTTCTATATCAGTATATCTAAGGTATCAGTATATCTTCTTGTAGGTTGCAAAAAAAGCTAGTGTTCTGAAACGAAGAAAGTCCAAGACAAAGATGGAAGTTGGTAGTGTTGCCAACACACCAGAGAGTACTGTCTCACCTCGAGAGAATGAAGATGTCCCCTCTGAATCTGAAGATTCACGTTATGGTGAGGATGTAACTAGAAATATTGAGTATATGTTTTGGAATTTGTGTTTATCTGAAAGTTCTTTGATTAATGATTAACATTTATAACATTGAGTACCCAGTAAATTATTTTGATTTAGAATTAACTGAGTATAGAAAAGTTTGGTAAGTTTTTTTTGGTAACAGCCAGTAGTTTCCAGAAAGTAAAGAAAACTTGATTTATTAATCTGTTTTTCCAGTGGCTGTGCCATTTGTATATGTTATAATATTTGAATTTTAAAGTAAATTTTTTTAACATTGATGAGTGACATGTATTCAAAATATATTAATAATGATCTACAACAGAGAGACTATATATTTTATTACATATTTCTAATTATTTGGCAAGTAAAATGTGTATTTTTGGATCAGAAGCTTTGGAAATTAAATTTGATGGTTTATAATAACCTTCATGTTCTTAACACCAACAGAAATTTATATTGAGTATTTTGCTTATTTTCTCATTACCGTACACATACTTTTTTTCTTTTGTATTCCTTCAGTACAGAATATAGATGAATTAATAGTACTGATTTCCAGCTATTAATATTAAACTGTTTTTATAAGAAATGTGTAGTCAAAATTTATTATTTGTAACTGGCTTAATAGTGCATTTGTTTCTATCTTTTGTGGTTGGAAGGTAGAGGTATGAAACCTCGAAGAGAGAGTAAAGTTCCTTCTCTTCCCTTCTTGTCCAATTCAAGCTGCACAGCTGAGGTGAATTCTGATGAAATTGAAATTGACATAGATGATCCCCCCAAAATAACATCGTAAGTTTTTATCGTCAGGCTGTTACATTTAATATTTATTTCAACTGGTTGAGTGCAACTTTTTTTCTGGTATATTGTGATTGTTAAGTTCACTTTAAAAGTTACTACTGGAATAATTACTGGAGGTTTTGCTTATATTAATGATACCTATGTGATATTAGACTCATATTCTGGGATTACTTAAGAATCACTGGCACATTTTCATAATTTTCTTTTATTCCTGCAAGCTTTTGGCTCTCTTGCTGGAACCTCCAAGATGTTTGTGTTATAATGCCTAGCAACAGTGACATCTACATTAACTCTCTCAACATGGTGTTGGTCGATTTGACCGACCACGTGACCTCTTCGTACTCATTTAAAATATTTATAGATTTAATACTTCCAACTTTCAATATAGTATGTATATCTTCACAAAATTTGGCAGTCTTTCAGTTAATATTATAAGTCTTTCACATACAAAAAATCATATTTTTTATTGAAGTATTTTTAATAAACTAAAAAAAAAGATTTGTCCTTGAATATATCGAGTATTTGTTTTGAATAGTTCGTGTGCAAAGTGATTTTCATGGTAAGATTAAAAATACTTTTCTTCATCTCAATAATATCAAATTTCATTTGTATAATCTCTAAAACCTCCTAAAAACATTTCAAATGTTCGTTTTCAGTAAAACTTTATATTTTATCTGTTATTTTCTGTACCCTAACTCTATACCTGATTGGTCAGTTTGACTGACCTCATAACCACCCAAAAAAAGAAGCTAAATAAATCTGACTTACCATCCTTTTCTTTCTAGAATGACTTCAAATGTAGCATGAAACTGAATTCATTTATCCTAAATAACTTTTAAGATGTAATAGTATACATCTATTTATAATTAAATTTTATTGTTTTATTGCCCTGTGAACCATGTCTAGCTACTATTCATGCCATTATAAGTTGTAAATCACTTGGGGAACATGCAGCTCTCATTATGCCATCGAATTACATTACCCACGAGATACTCTGAGCTGTTCGCTTGTGAGCATCATGAAATATTTTTATTATATTATTATTGTTTATTTTACCTAATCTAACCTTAACTAACCTAAAGAGATCCCTATTTTTACATTTTAGTTACTTTTGGAATAATAAATAATTAAAAAACAAAATAAAGTACTTACCCAAGCAATTTTTTTTTTTTTTTGATATCGACTATCGATGACAGTTAACTATCCATTTTCAAACTAATGGTAGTAGTGCTTTAAATAATTTTTATTTAATTAAATAA